AGGCGGAGGCAGGAGACTCGCTTGAGCCCAGGAGTTGGAGGTTGCTGTGAGCTGTGATGTCACAGCACTCTACCCAGGGGGACAGCTTGAGGCTCGGTTGAAAAAAAAAAAAAATGGGGGTATAGGGAATCTCTGGAGTGTTTGTGAATACAAGATTCATTCAATTTCAGGCTAAACAGAAACACTGAGAGCTTCCACCAAGGTCCATCTTTACTATTTTAATTTCATTGTGCTTTTGACAATGTCAGAACCTGAGACTTTTAGAGGCTTTCTTTTCGGGGGTCCATCCTCTACTTAGTCTGAGAAGTGGAAGACAGACCATATCCTGCCTGACTGTACCAAAACCACAACCCTTCTGTTAACCAAGGGAGTAGCCAAGCATTGGGAATTTGCCAAGGAAGTCTAATCATGTCCTTGCCATGACCCTTCTGGATACGAGTGAGTCAGATTAAACCAACCCTGGCCTCTCACTGTTTTCCCTTCTTGTGACTACAGAAGGCTTGGTGGTCACTGTTCTGGTAGTTTGTTCCGAGCAGACCATTTTCTACAGTCTTACTTGCAGCCTGATCAGTCCCACTCTTGGGAAGCCTATTTATTCTGTACTGTTTGCAACATGTAAGAAAATTGCCTATGACATTCCAGTAGCCTCTGTTTTCAGTCCTCAGAGTCCTTTCCCCACTCTTTGTCTTCATTGCTTATGTTTAAGAAATTAAAATGATATATTTCACTATAAAAGTATAATAATAAAGATTCATGGCTTTGCGCAGTGGCAGTATCGTAGCCAATGAGGTTTATCTGAGGCACGATTATTACTAATTGAAAACTTCCCAATAGCCTGCTGTGACAACTTGCAATATAGTCGGCACTGGCAATTTTTGACGGTCTCTATGGAGACTGAATAAAAAAAAAAAAAAAGATTCATAGCACATTTGGTAAAAACAGAAAAGTAAAAGCAGGGGCTAAATTGTGCCCATCAAAATCTCACTTAACCCTAATGTATTTTGTTGCTATTTTCTCTCTCTCTCTTTTTTTTTTTGAGACAGTCTCACTACATTGCCCTCAGTATGGTGCTATAGCATCACAGCTCACAGCAACCTCAAACTCTTGGGCTTAAGCTATTCTCTTGCCTCAGCCTCTCAAGTAGCCGGGACCACAGGTACCCACCACAACACCCAGCTATTTTTTTGTTGCAGTTGTCATTGTTGTTTAGCTGGTCCAGGCTGGGTTTGAACCCACCAGCTTGGGTGTATGTGGCTGGCACCATAACCACTGTGCTACGGGCACCAAGCCTGCCCAGCTATTTTTTTTAGAGACAGGGTCTCACTCTTGCTTAGGCTGGTCTCGAACTCATGAGCTCAAGCAATCCACCTGTCTCAGCCTCCCAAAATACTAGCATTGCAGGCACGCCTGGCAAAGATACAGTTGTAAATACAAGTTTATATTCCAAACTTGCACTTGACCATAGCAGTTTTACTACACTGATGTAAACACATCATGATTTTTTTTTTTTTGAGACAGAGTCTTATTTTATCACCCTCGGTAGAGTACTGTGGCGTCACAGCTCACAGCAACCTCCAACTCCTGGGCTTAGGCGATTCTTTTGCCTCAGCCTCCCAAGTAACTGGGACCACAGGTGCCCACCACAATGCCCAGCTATTTTTTTGTTGCAGTTGTCATTGTTGTTTAGCTGGCCCAGGCTGGGTTCAAACCCACCACCCTTGGTATATGGGGCCTGCGCCCTACCCACTGAGCCACAGGTGCCGCCCAGTTTTATTTATTTATTCATTTTTTTGAGACAGTCTCACTCTGTCACCCTGGGTAGAGTGCCATGTGTCATAGCTCATAGCAACCTCAAACTCTTGGGCTCAGCCTCCGGAATAGAAAGGACTACAGGCATGTGTCACCAGTCCAGCTAGTTTTTCTACTTTAGCAAAGATGGGATCTCACTCTTGCTCAGGCTGGTCTCGAACTTCTGAACTCAAGCAATCCACCCGCCTCACCCTCCCAGAGTGCTAGGATTACGGGCATGAACCACCCCATGCCCAGCCATAAACAGAATTTTCAATGGCCCAGCTTAAACTGTCTGCCCACTGAATATAGCTCAGTTTATTTATAAGGGATCTCTGAGTCCATAACTGTGTTCTTTGCTGTACACAGGAATTTAATGCCACCACTACATGGTAGATTGTGTGCGGAGCAATATTTAGAAAATGACACGATAACTACTCTTAATTCTATTTTTTGATATACATTATATGAATAGATAGATGACTGTACTCCATAAAATAGCCCTGATTTAGGACAATATAAACTGGTTTACCATTTCCTGAAATTATGCTAATGTAGCTACTGCCATTAGAAATACTTACCAAGCTGTTAGAGGCTGGCCAAGTCATTTGAGGCCAGGACTGCAAGGGCAAAAGGTTTCTTCCTCCCATTCTAATTCTAAATCCTACTGATTGGTCATAGAAATGCCCAGAAAGGGATTTTGAGGCTATGAGCACTCATCAGTAGATGTAGATTAAGAATGTGGGCAGCGCAAGTTTGAACCTCCCCTGGGCCTGATTAAGAAAAAAATAAAAAAGAAAGTAACTTTAAAAAAAAAAGAATGTGGGCAGCTA